AATGTTACTAAGCATATATTCCAGCCTGACACGAAGCATAGGTGGTTAAATACCGGGAACACAGCATAGGTACACGACCTGACACAAAGCATAGGTACACGACCTGACACAAGGCATAGGCCTCACAAATACCTGACACAAAGCATAGGCAATAATCACGTTTTTAAAAGAATAGTAGGTACTTATTATTATAAATAATTCAAAAGGAAAAAAATAGACGCCAATAATCCTTACTAGTCGACACCACGAGAATCAATCCTCTACCAACTATGTCTTTCAAACCTTCCCTTTGTTCAGTTTAAATCCCTCTTTTTTGCTTGCATTCCACGAGTGATATCACTGTTAGGTTTGGTACAGAGTACCTACCTAGTACAGGCATCTTTCGTTCAACAAAAAAGTAGGCAGCGTTCGCGAAAACCGCATCTCCAACTCAAATAGCAACCAAAATATCCCTTATGTACAGGGTAAGTCATTATATTTTAACACCCACCTGCAGCCGTAATTACAAGTGATAGGTAAAAGGTGTAGATAAAAAGGTTGTAGCATTTTATCTGAACCGCCAGAATTTTCAATTAGATTGAACAAATTAGTAAAGCAAAGTGAAAAAATATGTCAATGTTCACTTTTTTCAAATGGAATGCACTTTATTTTCTTTCAAATTCTTAAAGTTTTCGTTTTTCTGGTTTAGATTATACATAATACCTATGTTAATGTTTCTTTCAATAGTTTTGGAATAATATCAGGAACTTTATTCTCGAAATCGAGGAAGAGCGTTCTCATGAGAACGATTGCTCTGTCATTGTTAGTATTATGGAAATATGAATACGGTGACGAAGACAGAACCTTCGTTCTCATGAGAACGCTGCTCCCCTGTTTCGAGAATAAAGTCGCTGGAGTTCGGTTATTCAAAGACGTATTCAGATATCAAAATGTTTTGTGACAAATGACAGGTAAATCAAGGTAAAATATATTCAAAAAACTCTGAACTTGAATAACTAAACTCCAGATTTTTCCAAAACTATTGAAAGAAACATTAACATATAATATGTATATATTCTGAATCAGAAAAAAGAGAACTTTAAGAATTTGAAAGAAAATAAAAGACATATATAAAAAGTGAATATCGACATATTTTTCCAGTTTGTGTTGCTCATTTCTTCAATCTAATTAAAAATTCTGGCGGTTCAGATAAAATGCTACAACTTTTGTATTTACACCTTTTAGCTATAACCTGTAATTACGGCTGCATGTGGGTGTCAAAATATGGTGACTCACCCTGTACAGGGTCTGTTCCTTATAATGAGTGCGGCTTCTACAACTTAAACAAAACAAAAAAAAAATTGAAAAAAAAGTTAAACACAAAAGTTGTAGGGTTTTATCTCTATTATATCTTTTGCTAATGTCATCATAATGACATAATGACAAACACTTGCATTTTTTAAATGGAACACCCTGTATATTTTTAAGTAGAATGATAGTTTTTTTTCTTCCTCCGATTCCAAATATACCATATAATTATGTTGATATTTGGTTCAGCTGTTTTTAAGTTTTTTAAGTTTAAAAATGCATTTACATTAACCTGAGGGTGAGGGTTGCTTAATACAATTTCGAAACAGATTGTTCTATTCAAAAAATGCAAGTGTTTGTCATTATGACATTTGACACCTGTCATTCGGCCATTTTGACATGTGCGAAAGACAATAGAGATAAAACCCTACAACTTTTGTATTTAACTCTTTTTTCTTTTTTTTTTTGTCGTTGTAGAAGCCGCACTAATTATAAAGAACAAACCCTGTACAACCAAAATGGGACACCCTGTACATGCTAAAAATTAAAATAATATCCATTTTATGGAATATGAAAAAAATTGCCTGATTTTATCTACCAAAGTTAAATTACAATATTTCACAGTAATAAAAATTGAAAATCTTTGACTTAATTTTTTAGTATCACCCTGTATCGCTGTGAGGTCGGTGCAATGGAAGAAAATGCTTATTTCGACTTCCAAAATAATATACTAAACTTTCAACAAAATCTGTCGGTGACTGAAATCCATAAGAAGTGTGAGACGTTCTTTATATGGATTTATTATTTAAGGTTTTAAACATGTGAAACTTTCCAATAACCTACAAACCAATTTTATCAGATTAAACTTTTATTTTTTATAGGTGTTAATGCATAGAAATGTACCTGTATTAATAAAATGGGTTTTGAGATTTGTAAAGCAAAAATTAATTCCCACCATATTTACGTTTTTAAAATTCTTTAGGGGAATTTTATCATTTAGTGTACACACCCTGTTTAAATTCAATGGAAAATAAAAATTCTCGTTTTTAAGCTACAAATTTCCGATAAAAGCGGACTAGAAATTTTCCAATATTCAGTTGCATCGTATCTTCGGTTCAAATATAAACAAGTCTAAATAATACGTTCAAAAAATAAGTCTAGATAAATAAAAATAATAATAAAAATAATAATAACAAGTATATATAAATATTAGTCCGAAGTCTAGGATATTATTTTTTCAAATATTTTTATAATAATAATATATAATTTTATATATTTTTGTTTAATATATTGATAATAAAAATTATATATTTCAGTTTGCGAGAGTTCTAATACTGTGAAACCAACATAAACAGGTTTATTGTATGTTACTTCTACACTTTCTAACTGAATTGCTACTAGGTTTTCGTTGAACACTAATAAACCTTTGAAATTGGGTTTAGCTATGAGTGATTCAGCTCCCTGTTTATTATTAATACTTTTCCAATAGGTTAATAGTCGTATGTCTACTCGTTTATCAATATTTTCTAAAGATTTGCCATAGATAGCGTTATTATATAATTTATGACAGTCCTTTCGCATTTTACTTTTAGACTTGTTCCTCATTTCTGTATTTAAATCTATATAAGGTTAAAGAAATGCAGATTGTTTAAATTTGATACCTCTGTGAAATTTAATTTCATTAAGTCCATTTTCAATTGCTTGTTTGAGATTTCTATAATGAATTGTGTATTTTTCTTTGTGATTCAAACTGCAAATTATTTTTTTTTTTAATTTGAATCTTGTGGACATATATTTTCAGCTAAAAAAGGTAATTCATTATGCTTTTTATGTAAATTTAGGGGATATTTGATATCTACTTCAAATACGTATCCATATTCAGAATCATCTGGTATGGATAAAACATCAAGAGAATCTATTTCTTCATTAGTCATCCAAAAAAAATCACTTGTAGGTAAACATTGACACATACTATGACCAGAAAGATTAGTTGCATCTAAATACATAATAAACGAATTGAGTTCCGTAGAGTCAAAATTTGGAAGAATTTGATTATTAGCCTCAGCTTTTCGATCACTACAATGACATATTCCACCCCTAATACTGTTTCTGAAAAAATGTAACATTTCAATGTCTGTTAATAATTCTAATTTAACCCTTGTAAATTTCAACATTGCATCCCAAGATAACACAGGTGCTGTAAAGTATTGTGCAGGATCTAATTCATAATATTAAGGGATACATTTCGAAAAGCCTCAAAAAAGTCCGTCAATATGAGACCATCTGATAATAAATATATCTTAGTGTTAGGTTTTGACAATGGAACAAATTCCAAATATGAATAGCTCGTTCATAATCTGAAGGATCTAAAGGAGTATCTTTAAGTTTATAATAAAAGTTTTCAATACTTGGAAATTGGGTTTAATTTAATTTATCTAAGGAGTCTACATAAGAATAAGGATAAATTCCTTTTTTTCTAAATTCTGATTCGAATCTTGGAAATATCTTCTAATTTCTACACATTGATTGATATCTAAGCTATTATCAAGACTCTCTAATGAACTAGCGAAAAAACGGAAAGAATCTAAAAATCTGAGCCTAATAAAAACATGTTTAACTTTCGTTTTATCAGCTTGTTCAATTTTGTCAACCAATATTGACTTTGTGAATAAAATGTATTTTTCTTTAGTTTGTGCAAGAATATCAATTTCATCATTTTCACAACAAAGTTGTTTGATGAATAGATGGCTATCATATCCTGTTAGATTGTGGAAAAATACAGGAATAAAACTGGGAAGCTGGTAGTTTAAATCACAAATATTATGTGTTACACCTCGGTATTTTCCAGTTAAATGATCATGATCCCTTACTTTTTCATCTAAAGGATTGAATTTTTCCTTACAAATACTGCAAATGATACTATTTTCAAATTGAAATTCTTCTTCATTTGTTAGAGGAACCATCGGTACTACATGTTTTAGATAATTATTATAAATTCTATGAACATGAGCTTGAATTCATTTGCAAAATTCATCAGCTGCATCAAGAGCAAAATAATAATCTATTTCTGATAAAGAATCATCATATGAACATTTAATGAAATAAGCGAAAGAATATGGTTCATGCTTAAAAGTGTTTAATGTAAAAGAACTCTTATCATTGGTTGGTTCTTCATATTGTAGAGGTTTTAAGAAACACTCAAAATCGGCATATATTACAAATGGAACTTTAAGTTGCTTCTGAAAGTTTTCTAACTGGAGAATATTTTCCGAGATCTGTTGTCCATATTTATTAACTTTTATATCAGTTGTTGGAATTTTTGTAAACACATGGTTACAATCATATACTTGATGCATTTGTATTTTTTTTTTAGAATTGAAATAAATTAAACATCCATCACGAAAATATTTTCTAAAACTTGTTTCATTTATTTGAGATGCAACTAACCTTGACATATCTTTAATCCAACAATAATGATTGTTTCTACCTTCACTAAATAACAATAAGTTTACATGAGTTGGAAGTTTCTTATCGGTATAATCAAGAGGACCAACTACTTCATAACATAGTTCGGAATCTTTATAAACACTCTCTACTATTTCATTATTAGTCTCTGCAGGGTAACATCTGCACTTTGGATAAAATATAAGTCGTTCCAAACTACCTTAGACCATTATGAAAAGTGCACTGAAGTCAGTTCTATTTTCTTGTAGTGCTATGGATGAAGGAATACCAGCCGATAACCAAAACCTAGTCATGCTCTATTTTATGGCCCAGTTATTTCTAAGGGAGCTAAGGAAATCACATAGGCTTATTCAGATAGTACCCATGGACATGTCTGGGTATTATGGTAGGTTTTATCTATTTGGAATAAATAAAAATTGTAATTTTGATCATGTTTTCAGATAACAGAGCCGGCCCCTCGAATTTAGGTAACGTGATTAGCCAAATTTTGTTGTGTAAACAAATAACTCCAGATTTCAACCATGAGGAGTTATGTAGTATTCTCAAAGATTCTGAAGAAATAACAAAGATTCTCAAAGATATTGGTGAATATATGCCTAAACAAGAAAATAACTTAGGTAAGTTACAAAGAAATTATAGGCTACTCGTGAAACGAATAACTCCCTAACAATTTCAATTCTTCCAAAAATAAGAAGATGACGAGCGTGGTCGAGATGCTAAATGATTTATGGCTCCCAAAGACATTTTAAAATGCGTAATGGATAAAACACTCTCATGTTCCGTTGATTTCAGAAAAACCATCAGCCTTGAATGAAGACATCTCAAACCAGTGGACCAAAAAACAAAGAAATTTCATCTACAAACATATGGATCTGCTTTGTTGCGCAGCTCAGCCAAATTACCTATGACGAAAGCCCTCTAGGTCTTCTAAAGAAGAGAAAAGGGTCGTAAGAAAAGAAAGTATTCAGTATTAGAAAATTGAAAATACTGCGTCCACAACACAATTTGTAAACAAAGTGCAAGCCTTTCTTTATGAAAAAAGTCAATAACATTTTAATATGGGTCCATTTGTATAGTTTAGTTGAACAGAATTAAAAAGTTTATATTAATATATTATCGTCACGGCGCCCGTGCATTTGAGAATATTTATATATTTTTTCTATTATATAAAAATCAATTATCGCGTATTTTTTCGGGGTATGATTCTGTAAAAAAAAAATTAAATTGCCATGAGGTATGGCCATATATTTTTAAACCTGACAACCCAAAAATTACATAGATGCTTTCAATCTTGAGTAAGTATTAAATACTTAATTTAGTGTAATTATATAAAAACATTTTCTTAACGTTTACAAGCAATTATTTACTATATCTATAAAATGAGTTTTTCAAATGGAATCAATTCGTTATACCTAATGAGAATGATCAGTTTTCGGAAAAATGCTTGGATTTGCAATCTCAGCTGCTTAATTTTTATATCAAATGACGGAAACTAAGCTAAGAAATTGTCATTATTTTTCAATCTACTTTTCTGGGGAGTAATCAAATTTTCCACCCACGTTAATTAATATTAATCAAAAATAACCTAAATCAATAAAAACATGGCCTAACACGATTATTCAATGAAGGAACGAAGGTTTTCCTCTTTTTTTTATAATCTGGCGAAAGTGGCAGGATATAGTGCTAAAGAACGTCACAGTGTTTTTACCTTTGGCAGAACTTCACTGTTTGCTTCTCTTAGAATTATTGTTCATTATCACGTGTGATGTGATATCGAGATGATTTTATTCAAATTTCAACCTGCTGATTCTTTGGAAAAGGCAGTTTCTCGCATGCACAAATACCTGAACGTACCATAAGCCGTTGATAGAGGGCGGTATTTACTGGAGGCATTAAGTGAAATGTCAATGGCATTTCCAGCAAGTTTGAGTAGTTTTCTTTCAGTCTATCATAAATTAAAAAAGGATTAAAAATAAATCGAATAAATTTGCTCTAAACATTCAATTAACCCAATTTTTTAGGTTTCACTTTTAGTAGTAAATACCTATGATATATATTGTACATGGAGGGTCTTTCACGAACATCAAAACAGAGGCGTTACAGGATACGTCAATTTTTTATTCAAAGGGGAATCTTTTTGAGCCAATCGGTATTTCGTTAGGGTGCAGCACCTGAGTTACATTGACGTGTAAAAACACTATATTTTGTGTAACTTATGAATAAATTTGATTTGATTTGTTTTGATTTGGGTGGGGCGGCTTTAATCCTTCTTTTTTAAATACTAAGAATGGGTCGAGTGTTACCTTGTTTTAGAGGTATTTTGATTCTCATCAAAAGTGCGTTTTTTTTTTTAAATTGACCTCAAAATTAGTGTTGCAGGTCGCAAGAAATCTTGTCTTGTTCGGCTATTTCTTGTCTTGTCTTGCTAAGCAAGACAAGAAATATCCAATTTCTCGTTCTTGCAAATTTCTTGCAAGCCTATTTCTTGTTCTTGCTGCAAGACTCTTGCAATTTCTTGTTCTTGCTTTATAAAAAGTTCCTACATAGATTTTAGGTTAGTTATAGTCCCCTTTCAAAGAGCAAGTTGAGTTTCAAAATGTAATTAAACTTCTTTGAAAAAACTCAAAAATTCAGGACCACAAACGGTGGTAATGCAACAGTAACCACAAGACACTGGTAACCTACAATATATCTGTTCCATAGTGTGTGGTTTAGCCAAAACCATTGGTCAAGCTTCAGATTATTCAATGTGGTCAACTCGCAACGATGAGTTTGATAACCAGCGAACGTTACCACCAATAATTGTGAAAGTGGGCCTAAGATTACATGAGACAAGTCGACGAAATTGAATGTTTGATTTTTGCAAGTTTGTTCAAGTTCAAGTTATTATATTGCAACTTCAAGAAATATTTTTTGAGTGAAAACTTATTTAGTCGCGCTCAGCCAGCACACTTTTTTGTGGGTATTGAATGAAACTGAGTCGTCACGCTCGGCTATGTAACGCACATTTGGGTACAGTCGGCTTGAGCACATTTGGGTACAGTAGACTTCAGCCAAGCGAGAGAGAAAAACACCCATCACATTTTATTTCAAGTAATTTTCTACAATAATCTTTTTTCTTTTCTTTGATCGTAATTTAATATTATATTATATGTGCTTTATATGTAAATGTGACGTGTTTCATACAGGCATAATCCAAAGAATATCTAGCAAATAGATTTAAATCAAAACTATTCATCATATCTTTGATACAAAGGTAGATCAATCTGGGCATTGAATATAGCGCATAAAAAATACCTGTATTTCATATTGTTAATCACGCTTATTTACTTAATTGAAGTTTTCACTTCTGTTATGGTCTTAAAGTCTTGAAGCACACACCATTTTTTACAAATTTTGCTGAGACAGTTTTTTTGTTTGTTGTTTTTCATTTGAATAAGAATTTTTCAAAATTTTTGTAACTGCTTCTTCAATGAAACGTCCCATTTATGTATCAAACTATAAAAAAGTTTCTTTTTCATTAAGTTTTTTTATTTATTTACAATAAATAATGTTATGCGAGTGTAAGTAATTGTGCGTACTTTCTAGTTAATGTTTATTAACTACTCAATTATTATTATTTAAAATAAATTATGCAAGAAGTCTTGCTTCTTGCAAATTTCTTGCACAAGAAATCTTGTTCTTGCTCAACAGTTTCTTGTCTTGTATATTTCTTGCTAATCCACTTCTTGTCTTGTTCTTGCATGCAAGAACAAGACAAGAACAAGAAAAAGCAAGACAAGAACAAGAAATACCTGCAACACTACTCAAAATACCCTAAAACGCCTCTCCTTTGACCTCGTGAAACACCCAGTATTATATGTATATAATATTTCTGAACGCGCTTAAGAACCATATACCATATTTCCTACCTGGGAGTTTTTTGGGAATGCCCGATTCAATGGTGGTACTTGCAATGTTGCCAACTTTACCGTTTCTAATTTATTTAGCGTCTCAACAACGTACACCTAAATGCCAAACCTCCATTTGACTTGGTTTTTCAAATATTGCAAAACAGCTTTTTTGTTGAAATGAATGGAAACGGTCTCCCATTTCAGAACAAGGCTTTAGAAAAATGTGATTATACGTATTTAGGATGTATAGGGGGCTGCTAGGACCAAGTAGGAAATATTATACATTTTTCTAAAGCCTATTCTGAGATACGAGACCGTTACCATACATTTCAACAAAAAGCTGTGTTGCCATATTTCAAAAACCAAGGCAGATAGAGGTTTAGCATTTAGGGGTTTTAGTAATGTTGGGACGCTGAATTAATTGAAATAAAAATAAGTGGGACTTTCATTTGAAAGAATCATGTTACATACGGCATCTAAGAAACGGTAAACTTGAAAAAATTGCAAATACCACCATTGAATCGGGCATTTCAAAAAACCCCCAGGTAGAAAATATGGTACATTGTTCTTGAGCGCGTTCAGAAATATTAGGCCGTTTCCATATACATAACAACAACCCTGTTTATTTGTACAGTGTCCACTCATAATGTTAGCTAGATATGGAAAAAAAAATATTGATAGAATATGCTTTTTTTTATGTGCGATCGATTCTGCATACCGATAATCTAAAGGTAGGTACATTTTGACATCGGACACGTGATCACTGTCATGGCGGCAAATTCCAAAATGTCGATATGGAAACGTGAAAAGTGTGATTAGATAGAGGAAAAAGTTATATCGAAAAAAAGTTTTAAGAACGATATTGTAGCTGTCCGCCCAAGTAGGTACCTACTCTATTAATTAGTTAGATGGTAAATGCGAGAGGTTTTATTGATGGTCTTTATTTCCTTGGGTGGATACAAATGAGAGGAACAATTGCAGTAAGGTTTACACACATATACTTTATTTTATAAAATAAATCAAGCCAAAATTTCAAGTACTAACATAAAATTCTAAAATGGTTCCAAACGTTACAGCCATACCTCTATACTAACTCCAGAGTAAATTCAATTTTAATTTTAATCCCTTTTCAATATCCAAGAAAATACAAGATTTGTATTTAATTTCACTGAGCTCTTAAAATGTCACAATCAAATCCTTGTATTACTTTTATCAGCATAAATAACTTAAACCAAAATTAATTTACTCTTCAAGACAATATTATTTGATCGATACATATTTTAAATAAAACCTCCAATACATCTAATGATTGGAACTTTTACTCAAAAATCTTGAACTTAGCAAGAATAAATATTATTTCAAAACCATTAACATTTTATAATTAAATCTTCCGATACTTCTAATGATCAAACTTTCACGCAAAAATCATTAACTTAGACAGAACAATACTATTTCAGAACATTAAACATGTTAATTGAATATTTTCGATACTTCTGATGATTAAGCTTTCACTCAAAATACATAAACTTGGACAAAACAATACTATTTCAAATCAACATTACACATTTTATTTAAATTCTCTTAATTAGATAGAGACCTAAATATTTAACTATATTCATTTACTAGAACATTACCGGAATAATATTATTTAATTATCATTACACTCTCATTCTTCTCATTAGACAGAGCTCACAAAATTCAACAGTCAATTTAATTTTTCAAAACTCTTCAGAAAATTCATTTCAATAATTGGCAACAGTCATTTGCAATAATGTTCCATAGTCAATTCACTTTACATCATAGTCATTGCAATAAATGGTCAAACTTTTCTAAATGTACTTACAGCTTTCAGTGTCTTTAATTTCCACTAAACTATTCTAAATTAAATCTTTTTATGTATTATGTAGTGCTCGCATATAATGTTGAACGAATTTAAATGTTCTCTCTTTCAAGACTTTTTTTACTTTTTCTAATTTTTCGAGTGCAAGATTCGGTTTTGCGCGAATTTAAAATATCGGAATTAAAAAAAAAACTTCGCGAACTTTATTTGTTTTTATATTTTTCGATCCCCCCATGAATTTCGCGTCATGTCCATTCATTGACCTGACTTCCGTTCCGTTTTTCTAAGAAATATAATTACCGAAGATGTGGCAATTTCCTGGATTATCGGGGTCAGCAGATATGGTATAAGAATAAGAGGACAAATAAGTCAAAGGATGCCGAACTCGTTTCTGCCATAAATAATGTTTTTTATATGAAATCTGCCACTTGGTCACCAATTTAATTGCTTTAAAACTGACTGGAATTTTTTATGGGTTTCTCTTTGAGGGCATGAGTCATTTATCTATCATTTCAATTTGAACTTAGAAAGTTTTTAAATA